CAATTCCCCGAGACCCCATGACTGCAAGCAGACCGCAAGCAAAGGTAGCAAACTGCATTTTGTGGCAACCCAATTCAAACTCTAGACTTCAAAATTGAAAGTGGTCAACCTCCCCCAAAAGCCACCACTGAATTTCTAGTAGCGCAGCGACATCGTTCATTGGCAAAGCCACCTTAGTTCTCTCATTATGCCACCCATGTGTGCGTTTGACTAGATTCAAATCGTGGCCATGAGGCCGGGCGGAGTCAAAATCGATAATGACAGGGGTGTCACCTTGAAACATGATGTTACACGGGTTGATGTCATTGTGGACGATACCCAAATCATGGAGATGTTTCAGGCCCCGTGCAATTCCCTCCACCCAACGGTCAACCTCGTCTCGGTCAGCCTTCTGCCTCTCATATGCAAAGTCGAACTTATTGCGTCTGGCTGAGTTTACTCTGGCCATCAGCGTTTCATCGTACTTTGTGAAATAGATCCCTCTTATTGAACTATCGTCGACGACGGCGCAGCCGTGGTATTGAGCGATATTCGGGTGCGGATTATTCTTCAGGAGTTCGCAGGTCTTGACTTCTTCAATCCAGGTTTCTCTGATTAAGGCGGGGTATTGGGGGCTGTAGGGTGAAAGGCTTGGCTTTTTCAGATACCAGGTCGAACAGTCCGAGGGCCTTTCTGCCTTAGTGAATTTGTCCGAGAACTCCGGGAAAATGAGAGCTCCTTGGATTTTGTTGGTGCTGAACATGTCGCCAAACTGGATGTCGTCTTTTGATTTATATCGCTTTCGGGAGTAGGCTCTGTAGATTGAGCCGGACATTTCGTAGACTATGATGGTCTTTTGGAATGCGAATTTATCTGGAGGACCTCCAAAGTCTTCGGAATATTCGAGAACGTACATTTTGAAGGGGGCTGCGCATCAAACAAGAAGAAATGAAGAAAAATAAACTATCCTTAGCAAGTCAGCTCAGGCAGGTAACTCGTAGGGAATTCAAACGGATCAAGAATCATACGATGAAGCGGGTGCCCACTTAGTCCCGATTTAAAGTATTTCACTGGCTGTTTGCACTTCCTTGTCACTCAAGGCTTGTGTGAGGGAAATAAGTGGCAATGAAAGTCAGAAGGGGCATCCGAATTGGGTGCCCGTCATGATGGCCGAATATATCTCATGGTCTTGGGAATATCCCCCAGTCTCTTTATTCACACATCATGAACCATCACCACATATATCGGCAGAGCAAAGCAAGGAAGGATATCCTCCCTTCAAAAAACCATGGACCAGCAATGCGACAGCAGGGTGACTGTCATGACCATCATTCCCTGTGTCACGCCCAGCAAGTAGCGTCCTGTTCAAGGGACAACCATCGCCTCCATCTAAACGACAATGGCAGTGATGCCCACGAACCTCAGCGATATAACTTCCGTCAAGCCCCAAATCCCGAAAACATGGTTCATTCCGATTTTTGTCCGCACTTTCAAGGGGATCCTTGCCTCAAGATGTAAGATTGGAGTCGTAGTTGGGTTTTATCTGTATATCTTCACCACTGAACAAATTGCAGGACCAAAGTCGAAGCCGACCTCCGTGTCCAACACGCCCAGATCTGCTGTCACCTCGAGACTCGATCTAGATCTCCCCAGTCGAGCGAATATGAAGACCACCACCACACTGGTCAATACCACACCCAAGAAATCGACTCCAATGACCGACAACATCACCAACCTACAGTCAAGCAATTCCGTTCAAAAACCTCAAATAACCCGTTTGATCGTGTCCACCGTCATGCTGCACCACCAGAACAAGGTACCTTTGTTCGTGTTACTGTGTGTAAGTCACATGAGGACGGGTGCGGTAGGAACGTGAAAGTCGTTAGATTCAAAGAGGATGGCGGGACGCCCGAATATGCCGAGACCCGCCATTCTAATTGCCCTATACATCATACCCCGTCCCCTGCGGAGGACCAGTATCAATCTCATCACAATTTTCATCAACACCAAGCCCAATCTCAAGACTCAAGAAAATGTAGGTGGGTTTGGGGCCCTCCGTTGCCTGCGGTGGTCCCTCAACGTGGAAAGATCTATTAGGCGGAGAAACATTGAGACTTATAGAATCATGCAATGTATATTGGGAAATTGGACACTTTTCAAAAATTGATCGATCAAAAGGTCGGCAGAATTTCAGTTCCTCAATCCTTGTACCTACTCTCATGAAGTCGCTATGCGTGCCATGGTCGCAGCGAATGTAAAAGTTTGTGTTTGGGTGTTATGGCAGGATGATAGGAATTGTTGTCGGGAATCCTGCTCGTCGAGACTACACGTTGCTGGAGCATCTGGTCTAGTCTTCTTTTTTTTCTTTTGATTCGGGAAAAAAGAACCCAAAATAAGGGGAACTTAGCGAGGCATCGCGGGACCCTGCTATTTCCTCCCTGTTTGTTGACTTCTCTAGAGCTAAACTCCAGCTTGCTTATATTCGTAGGCATTCTCGCGAATACTTCCCACGGGCTTAGTTAGGTGTAGGCCTCCAACAGAGAAGGAGGTGCTTATGACTCCATCAACTTCCATGCGGGGATCCCTGCACACTCGGATTACATGGGCAGCTAGGCCTAAAGAAGTCGTATCTAATGGTTCATATTAATGGATAGGGATTCCCCGACAAACTTCGGAGACGCCTGCAAGCTTTTCACATACCCCTGAATTAATATTCATGACCGAGAGGCCAACGGATGAAGTAATCAAATATCATGATAGGTAATAAGGAGGGAAATATCTCGCTATCAGAAGCTTCTGGAAGGCCAATGGTTACGAAGACCTCAGGCAGCAATGCTGCTGATAGCATAGCATGCGGGGTCTGCCAGCTCATGATTGCATACAAAACTGGATGCCTCCCACACTCATAATCTGTTTCGAACCTCGCGTTGGACTCGTCTAGCATTTGACTAGCTATGGAGCGCTGTGACTTATGTGACCGCTTTTTTAATGATCGACAGGCTTTCCAACAACATATGCGAGATGCTCCGGTACATGCTTTGATATTTCGATGCGAACCCTGCAATCGGACTTTTGTCAGCCAAAGCGCCCTTGATCAGCATCTGCGGGACACATCTGCCCACACCACAACATTCAACTGTGAGCTTTGCAACAAAACCTTTGGCAGTCAAAGTGCTTTGGACCAACATGTTCAAAATTCACCAGCACATGCTGTATCATTCAACTGTGAGCTTTGCAATAAAACCTTTGGCAGTCAAAGTGCTTTGGACCAACATGTTCAAAATTCACCGGCACATGCTGTATCATTCAACTGTGAGCTTTGCAACAAAACCTTCATCATTCAAAGTGCCCTTAATCAGCATCTGCGAGACTCACCTGCCCACACCACAACATACGACTGTGAACTTTGTAACAAAACCTTTGGCAGTCAAAGTGCCTTGGACCAACACGCTCAAAGTTCTCCAGGACATGCTGCATCATTCTACTGTGAACCTTGCAACCGAACCTTTGGCAGCAAAGATGCCATAGATCAACATATCCAGTATTCAGAAGCACACAACGCGGCGCCTAGCACACCGCTAGACTTTTTCTTCCGATCCTTCGCGGGCTTTAGATACAATCCAAACCTACCTCCCTCGGAATCATTTGCCCAACTTCGGAACTTCCGTGGCTGGGAAAATAATGATGCAGAGGATAAAGAAACCTGGAGGCGGTACCAATTTGCTCTAGAAGAGGAGGTGAAGATGTGGTTTGGAGCAGAGGATGACCTTGGCGCTTGGCATTCTCTTTGTCGCGCTATCGGAATTGAGCCTTTGCCTACAACGTGTGTGCAAGCTGTGAAGGTAAGCATTTATCTGGACTTCATGATTTTTCATATTTACACAAGATTTCAAATGGAAATCTAGAAGCATTTGCCAGCTATTTTGGCTAACAAGGGGACCTAGGCCGTCCGACGGGTGTTCGTCAATATTATTGATTTGATCGACTGGGCTCGAAGTGGAAACCTGAACAATCGAGTGCAAAAGTTTTCGAACCTGACAAAGTTACGAGAATATACGAAGCGAACGAAGAAGATCTATATCAATAACCTTGGCGAGGATGATGGAAATATTGTCCTTCGCCATCTGCTAAGATTCATTTTCCGGACAACTTCTGCTGGACCTCGTCTTCATGGCAGTGGATAAAGTGTAGAGCGATATCTGGTTAGATGGTCAGTTAAATTCATCCTCTTGGAGGTAGATTGGAGATCATCGTATATGAGAGTTTGAAGCTTGAGAGACCAAAGAATATCTTCCACCTCAAATGAATCCCTTGTCCACACTTCCTCATCTGGTCAAAATGCCGACATTTACATCGAGGGATTCACTGATTATAACCTTGGAAATGCTAGTATTCTTTCATCCTTTTATCTTTCGTTTCTGAGTTGATATTGTCCACGGTCTCGAGCCCCTCGTCTGTACCCAGGTAGATATCTCACTAGGATACACACTAGTGCACATCTTACAAAACGACCTTTCCATTATGATGCCTACAGGATACGACGTGAATAAATGTAGATCTGAATTGACGAAGAAGCCAGAAACCGATACTATAAAATGGAACAAAAAAAACAATAACGACAGTAAAACCACATTCAGCTTCTAAATCAGACCATCCAGGCAAAATATAGAAATGACAAGCTTTGACTGGCTTTCGAGCCACTCCACCCAATGAGTGAGGGGTGATTTGATCTTTTCACGCGCTTCAAGAGAGTGCAGTTCATATATAACACGAAGCATCTTCTTAGGCGTATGTAAATGAACACCTTACTAGCATAAATATCGCAAGTCGTCTGCGCGAGCTGTGCGGGCGCGTATTTATTTATAGCCGGTGCCACTAGACAACCATTGAACCTCATCATAGTACCCCGCAGCATAAATACCACGCACCAGCTTCCCTTTGCTTTCTCAACTTTGAAGTGATTCCACACCTTGATAGACTGCCATGTCACACCATCCTATTGTAATAATTCTAATTTCAAGATGAGTGATGCAGACGGTGAACCCAAACTTGAGGATCACCCCGAACGGGAGGATCACCCGGAGAACGAGAATCAGCTCACACGCGATAACCGCCTTGAACATGAGGACCATCCTGAAAGACATGATCAGCCCGAACACGAGAATCACTCCAAACGTGACACCGAGGAGAACGAACCCATCAACTTCGAATGGACTCCTGAACTTGTGAAGATTGGAACCTCTCGTGGCACGATCCATCCATCAATTGGTCCCCTCACATTCTACAGGGGCTCCCCGGAATGCAAGTACCGGCCTGGTATGGCATTGCCAGACCCTGCTGATACGCGGGAGTGTCTGAGGTGGATTGGACTATTCGATAAGAAGATACTTGAGATAGAACAGAAGTTCAACGCACTACATCCAGATTATCAAGGACCTCGCTGTGGATATGACGAGAAATTCATGCAGCATGCACATGCCTACAATGAGATCACGTTCCCTAAGATCGAGGAAATGTTGAATATGTTCATTCGAGGAATGCATGATGACCACGATGAATTTGAATACACTCACAGTGGGTCTTTTTAGTTAGTATAATAGGCGGTCTTAGCTAACAAATTAATACAGAGGGCTACATTGAGAAGGGTATTCAGCTAGGACTTCGGCCAGAATTTGCGATATTCTGCGGACTGCATGAGACAGATCCCCGAGCTCTCGAAAATTCCCATTTATTCGAAAAAGGATGGTTTTCTTTGGGCCCAGCAGATATCATGAGTGATACCCTTATCCCATCTTGGATGAAACTCAGGGAATTCATGGCGACGAAGTTAACATACGAGGGGAAGGCATGGAGCGATCGCTATGGAAGATGGTTGGTCCACGAGGGGGAAAGTATGGAGCAAGCGAAGGCGAGAGTAGATGATCGAGAGATTGAAAGGCTAAAAGAGCAAGCGATAAAGGAGAAGAAGGAAGCATTGGAGCGTTTCTATAGAGAGCAGGCCAGAGAGCGCGCGGAAGACGAGGCAAGATGGGCAGAAGAAGACAGACTGGAGGCGGAGAAGCTGAAACAAAAAAGCATAGACGAAGCTGGTCAGCAGAAGGATGAGGAATGAACAGAGTAAATGCTCCAACGCTTCCTTGCTCTCCTTGATCTTGAATTTAGTCGACACCAAGGCTGACGACCACGCTCAGGCGCAGATGTACACAATGAATGTCAAATTGATACCTTTCCGATGATGTGTCCTCTCCAGTAACTCAAGTCCGTTGTTCATCTGTTCAAAATCAACACCAAAGTTGCTCCATCGGCTAAAGTTGGCTAATCTTTTTGCCGCTTTTTAGAGGCTCAAAAATATTGCTCGATCTAGTTTATCATTACCTTCTTGTAAATGAGTCTAGCCATTTCGGTGAGGCTAATGCAATCGGAATCTTATAAGTTCGGCGCCTAATTTTAAATCTTAAAACTACATGGGTCTTCCCGTTGATGTAAGGACTAGTAATCTCAACACTCCTGCCTAAACGAGCTAGGTACAGAATAACGTGTAAAAAGTACTACAAAACAATGAATACATCCAAGGGGTAGAAGTGTCTGCATTACCGGTCTAATAGTGACCTGGGGGCGTTACTCTTGGGGTGGAATGAGGCTCCCAGCTTGAAGCCTACAGGCGCTGTTTTGGCGACTCGCAGGATGGGTGGGTTATTAATATATCGGTACGTTTGCTTCATTTTTGCCGCCCACGCCAGTAGGTTCACGGACTTGCCTGTTGGTCTTATCTTTGATTTTTCGTACCTCTCATGGATCTTTTAGAAGTACGCCTGATCCCTGATCCCTACACCAACCGGAGCTGAGAAAATATGAGTCTAGTAATAACAATACCACGAAGGCCACCAAATAATAGTATCACGTGTATTCTTAATTTCCTTGGGCACAAGTGCGAATATCTTCCATCGTAGCCAGGCTGATCACAAACTGGCATTTTCAAATTTTCTCAAATTCAAAAGCCGAACTTGAGTGAGGCTAGAAAGCCTATAAAAATTTCAGCCAGACCACGTAACTCTATCGTTTGCTCTTTGGTCGCATCTCTCCAGAGACTGCCTGGCTGTCCCGATCTGCTCTGTGACGGTCGCGACAAGGTGATCCGAGGTTCCGCGAACTGGAAAGTGGGATTATCCACCGCAATTTTGGCCAATATTGTCTTCATATCATGGAGAATAGACTCGTCCGTCTGGACTGGAATGGTTCGGAATTCAATCGTCACGGTACATTTTGCTGGGTATGAGGATGGTTCTTCACCGCCGTGAATCATACCACAATGCAAAGATGCAGACCCGATAATTTCGTCTACTGGTAAGCGACGCTGGTAGCTTTCTAGCGCAGTGAGAAACCATCCGGCCTGAAGAATTGAATCTACCCCGGATGTTGGGTCCGACCCATGGGCAGCAGTCCCCAGAATATCGACTTCGACCCAGATAAATCCCTTATGAGCAGTGATGAGAACACGATTGGTAGGCTCTGGAATGACAGCCCCGTCTGCGCGCCATCCAGCGGCGATGAGATCTTGGGTCCCTTGAGAAGCGTCTTCTTCGTCCGACACGGCGGCAAAAATGACATCTCCACGCAGGGGGGTTTTGCGGGCTTTGATAGAGGCAAGGGCTGCCATTTCGGCGGCAAGACCTGACTTCATGTCCAAGGAACCCCTGCCAAAAATAGCAGGCCGACCATCTTTTTCAAGAATATGGCCCGATAGAGGCTCATGCTCGTAGCTATTCAAGCTCACAGTGTCGATATGGCCATTGAGCATAAGTGACTTTCCTCCACCTGATCCACGGATTACACCCACAATTGATGGACGCCCCGTGACAGTCTCGATCCGATGATTTTCAATCCCGCGATGATCCAACCATGCTGCCAAATAATCTGCAATCTGCGTTTCTCCTGCGCCCGGTGTCGCTGATAAAGTGACGTTTGACGAATTAATCCTTGCCAGAATCTGGGTCAGGGTGACGGAATCATCGACTGCCACATCGAAGGGGCCTGAAAATTGGGGTTGTAGGGTAGACATTTTGGGTTGCAAAACGAGATGGGAGACGGATGTGAAGGCAGACCCGTTAATCTAAACCCAACAACGCCTTCCATGAACAAGCTGCGACTTCTATGAACAACCAACATAGCTTTACTGTTATCCGAATTGTCCCAATGATTCACGTCGCCTTCTAAAGCACCCTTTGCAAACGTATCTGTTGAGGTCACCTGATACTGTTTGTCAGAACTGGGAGCTACAAATAGCTTCCTCTCCCTCTTCTTCTTCCTTTCTCCCTCAGTGCAGTTAGAAGGATCAATAAAGTCAGATTGCCTGCTCTCGCTCCTGGTTTTTCATCAGTATCTACCCTATGTTAACATTATAGACTCCAATGTCATCGAGCACATAGTGCCACACGGTAAATCAGCCGGCCTATTTTTGCCAAACATGCGCCATCTCCGCTCGAATCATTGCCATCAAGACGACCTATCATCATTAACTATCAGCCATTTTTTCTCACATCCCACAAACATTTGACATACCAAGCTGAGGTCTACCCCTTGAGCCACCCGAACTCGAAAGACGGAGATATCCCGATCCCGCGCAAAACGCTTCTTGATATTGTTCGAATGGACCGAGATCTCCGCGATCGTCACATTGCCAATATTAACATAGTTTGTGATCCCCATTGCATCGCGCGGTCGCATCTCGACCACCGCGCCGGAGCTTAGGATCTTCCCGTCAATGGCCGTGTGTTGTGAGGTAAAGAATTTCTTATGGCAAAGCTCGGCGATCGTGTTCCCACTGGCGTCTTCTACAACCCACCCGATCTTACGCCGGAGGTCAAAGACTGGCCAGCCCGATACATCCTTCAAAGGTCGTCTCAGCGTCATTGAGCTGTAACCCCCCGGTCCTTCGACGGAGAATAGCTTCTCGCCATCATCACGCGCGATCGTGATGTTCTGAAGATGGCGGTCGTGGACCCTTACCCATATGACACATTCCTGATCGGTTGTATGGCCTTCGGTCAGGCAGACTGGTGAAGGTGGAGCTTGAAGAACTGCATCCATTGCAGCCAAATATAGGCGCCAAGTGTAGGAGAAGCAGATAGGCGTCTGTGACGACCAGACGATGAGGATTGAGACGCGATAGGATAGGGGCGGTTGGGGTAAACAGGAGTAAAGATCCAGGAAAACAGAAGGGTAGCGTCTCTAAACACTGACAGCAAGAGACCACGGATTCTACCCTCTCGAGAGTGTGAGTCTGTTCAGTTTGTACATACACTCGTTATTTGAAGCGTGGTAGCTGAATAGTCCCAGTTGAAAGAAGACGGGAAAAGTGCTCGCGGGTTCTTTTAATTAGCGCGGAATACTTGGGGGCCGGAAATCTTGTGGAACTAAGAAAATATTGTGGGGTTCAAATGGCTAGTAAATGTCGCATGGTGTCCTATCCCTGAGCAGTTCCTCAATAATTCATTAGAACTTGGCATTGATTGCTGATCCTGGTCCATTTTGCTTGGCGTAATATAGATGTGGATCAAGCTTCCCACTTAAAGTGGACCAAGCCTTTATGGGGGCCAGATGTAAGGATATGGGGCTAGTATTCTTATATCGGCCTCATACTCTACAGGGGATAGCACTCTATAGGGGATACCTAGGTAGAAATCTCAGTCTAACAGGATATTTTTCACACTATCAGAACAGGAAGCCTAAAATCATTCAGGTTGAATAATAAATGTCCAGCTAGTGTCGTGTTAAGTAACATGACAATAGAACATTAACCGTCTATAGACAAGGCTCGATAACTCACGTGAGATCTAATGGCAGCTAATCGCTCGTATATCAACGTGAAGTATCGCTGCAGTGCTGAGCCAAAAATATATATAAACGGCCACTAGGACTCTCCACGAATGAAACGCAACGAAAGCCGAACAACTAGCACACTTAGACATAGGAATACTTCCAAGAATCTGGAGAATCGGATGTCTAATTCAGAAACGTAATAATCAGTGATATATAATTGATGTTTTGCTTATCGTCCCTGAAGTTGGGGTAAAAGTAGTTCTCCAAAATCGAAAATTGGAGACAGTCTAGTTTTGACCCCGCCGAGGTCCTAAGTTAGCTTACCGAGAACAAATAATATGATAGCAATCACCGCATTTACACCCTGACATTGGACATTGAATGATTACCCTGAGCAAATTTGGGCGAAAAATCTTACTCAAGTCCGTACTTGGTTGACCTACACAGGCCGAAGGACATAAGTATTTTCTCTATCACCACACAATCTTAACATGTCGTACAATTTCCATGACAAGACCGTTGTCATCACTGGAGCTGGGAGCGGAATAGGGTAAGTGAACCTTTGCAAAGCGATACAGAGCCCAATACTCTGAGATTTAGCTCATCAGACACCATACAGGAAGGCCACTTCTCTTAAACTCAATGCCCTTGGAGCTACTTTGATACTCTGCGACTTAAACCTGGAGTCACTAGAGCAACTCAAGACCGAGCTCGAAGCTACCTCCACCTCCACCGTTCATCTCTACAAAGAATGTGATGTGGCATGCAGCACGCAGTGTCTCTCGGTAGTTGAGTCAGTCCACGGCCATACCGGCGTAAAGAGATTGGACTACCTGTTTAACTGCGCTGGAATCAACCCCACTGAAATTGCAATCACCGATACTACCGACGACTACTACACTCGCTTGGTAGACGTGAATCTTCGGGGAACGTTCAATATGAGCCGTGCATGTGTTCCCCTGATGGTAGACGGCTCGGTGATTGTCAATGTGTCTAGCATGTGCGGGCTCAGGGGCTACTCAGGATACTCGGTCTACTGTGCAACAAAGTTCGCAGTTATTGGATTTACGAAGGCTCTAGCTCTGGAACTGGGCCCCAAAGGGATCCGAGTCAACGCTGTCGCCCCAGGTCCGATCGACACACCGACTATGGTGGGGAATGTTTCCGGGAAGAGTGAACACAACCAGGAATTAAGAAGTAGCCTCGCACTGGAGAGATTGGGGGAGCCTTCGGAGGTGGCGGATGTGGCAATTTTCCTGTTTAGTCCTCAAAGTTCATTCATGACCGGAAGTGTGGTAGATGTTACTGGTGGTCTCCGGTAATCGTTTAGATATTGATTGGACAATGCTTGAAGTATCCCACACCCCAAGCGATGTCAATAATTACTTTTTTGTTAATTCGTCACTGTTATTAAGTGTATCATTCCGATCGAGCCTCTTAGTTACTAATTTTGATATTTCAAGTCAAGTCCCCATTTCGCGGTTCACAGAATAGTATGTCGAAGCCTATCAAAAAAGTTCATTATTCATAGCAGACTCCCCATAGAAAAGGCCAGATTGGGGAATATATCAGAAGGACCGCTGTAGTGCCCCGGGAGACCATATGCATAGTTACTCCAAATATTGCGCTTGGAGTGGGTGGGGTTACCCCAAACCTCCACATTCGGATAGTTAGCAAAAAAGCCCTTTCCTAAAAGGAGTGAACCCTGAGGGCCATAAGAGTGCGTATAATTGAAGACTACAGTCATTTCTTACCAAGCAATAATTAGAACCAATTTAGTTTTAAACATAGCAGCTCTCATAAAGTGAGCTCCACTTTCCAGGAACGAATGAATCTTTCCCTTCGTCAAACGCAAACATTCAATTGACAACAGGGTATATTTTGTGCTTCTTGTAGAATGACACTATCTCTTCAAACCGTTTAGTAGGCCCGTTAATAATACCCTTCAGAGTGAGTGTCTTGCTCGGAGTAAGGAGCTATCCAGAGAATTGAGAAAACTAGTTCTAGTTTATTGAAACTTTTGAATGACATTATTTAATAGCACGGGCATCCATCCATAGATTTCAAATTTAGCTATAGCTTAATGAAAATAAGTGCATTATGATGACCCAAATTTGTTAAAAATAAGGGAAATCATCCTATGCTTTGTAATTCAATTTATATAGTGAAGAGGGGAACGCTCAAGGCTGTATGCTCTGGGGCATACGGGTCGATTCAGCACTCGCAGTTCAGTTTCATACTCGACTCTGCCTACAAAGGATCCAGGACATGCAGTCCAAGAAGTCAATTCAGAGAGGTGTAGAGGTGTGTTTTATTCAGTCTGTCTCTTCCTACTACTTGTATCCTCCGGCCCCCCAAGATTACATAATAAAATCACTTCGTAAAGACAGGACAGGCAAGGTCAATACGTAGTGGGAGGCATGGTCCCCCACTACAATAGGTAGGTAGGTAGCCACCAGTGCGCTATTTCTTAGATACTACCACGTTGCTACTTATTTGCAAGTATACGCTTTTCACCCGACTTAATACACCTGGTAAAACATACTAGGATTTAGTTAAGATTTGGTAATACGGCATACTTCTTTCAACCTGCTTAATTGCACTATAAATAATAGGAGGCAGATTGTAGTTATAAATCCCCTGAATTTATAAGAAACTCCGACTCCACAAAGTTTACTGAATCTATTTACAGTAACTGCACGCTTTAAAACCCCACGCAGCAGGTATCGTTCTAATTAAAGCAACTCTAAAAGAGTTTAGGTGCAAATAGATAATACAACATATATCCGAGAAACCATTCTTCAATACAATGGTTTGTGTTGAAGCGGGCAAGGCTTTGCTTTTCCCATTAAGTGCTACGGTCAGAATCCCCATAGGAAGCTGACACAGATAAAATAGTCTGAAAATTAGGACCTAAATTCTTAGCAGTCAGAGTTAGAATTTGACTCACCAAATATGGTAGAAGAAACTTTGGATCTTCCCAAGAGCCAGTATGCCCTTGTTTGATTAATTGGCTGCAACACAGAGAGTCATGCTTGAGATCAAGAACCACAGGTCCATGTGGGGGGTCGAAATACTATCCGTTTTATAGTCTAGAACTTAACTTCAATTATTCAGTCCATTTCACATTGCACCATGCACTTCGATGTCCATGTAGATCTCTCCCGACAAATCCAATATTGCCAATCTCCGGTGTAAGTGTGAGCTACGTGTCGGCATCAGAAACAAGCCATTCTTCCTCATCATGGCACCAAGATAAATACTTATTCCTTATCTCCTTGTTGTTTTTATAGCCAGGTAAATTACTCAGATGGCAATGAAGTGGCTCAAGGGTGTTCAAGTAAACAAGGCTGGGGGAGGTTCAGGACATCGCGTACACGCAATATACAAGGACATTATATTATAGTTTTTAGCTGCTACCCGCTATAGCCATCCGACCGTCTTACCGATCCTACCTTGATTATTATATAGGTTTCTCGGGGCCTCGATAGTAGCGAGAGTTGACGTATGGTGCAGTCCTAGTGCTGTCTCATACCCGGCTTATGCCCATAAACACATCCGCTTAGCCCCTCAAGTTAGATTTAGTGGCATCCAAAAGGGATATGTCGCGAAGTACATTCGACGGTGGCGGAGCTTGCTGATCAGGATAAAATATTAATATAGAGTGCGGGTGCTATTAAAGGGGTGGAAGAAATGAGAGAGACGTCTTAACAGTTAATTGTGCCAAGCGGCTAGAACACCTTCCCTATGCAGGTTGGTGCGCCCCAGTCAATGATAATTCCTATTGAACAATAAGTCTTGAAATTAGATATCTTACATGTTAGTTATGTTGTTCATGGAATGATGATGCATCTAGACAGTGAGGCTTTTCCTTGCTCGCCTCTAGTTAATTCAGACCCATCCTTGTCCCCATGGGCCTATAAAACGCTCTATAGAGGTAGGTAGATTAAACAACGTATATATCTCCTGCCTTTCTTGCTCTAAAGTCATGTACAACACATACACCTGCGTGGGTTATGAGCTGATACAATACGAATTATCTACTCCGTACTCTTCCAATATCCACCTAAGTACTCCGTAGTCAGTCATAGGCTGAGGAAAATAAGCATGAATTTCTTGACCAATTTTTTACAATTGGAGGATAATTTGTTCATGCAAAGCTTAGTTGCGCCCCGGTTAAGATCAAATTCGCAGGCTCAAATGGGGGAACCTCGGGCCGTAATTCAAAAGTTCGAACCTACTATAATCAGAATTTACTTAGCGGTGAACTGTAAACTTAGTGCTCGGCTGAAAAGACTCATTCGCATTCGCCTTCGTAAACTCTTCCATATAGGAAACCCACACCTTACTTTCGTAGATACGCATATATAGGAGAAATCACGTCATTCTACCTTTCGATATGAAAGATAGCTCGAAGTTATAGAGCATTTTAATCAATTATTGAATAAGGGCTTAGTCAACAGTTATTTAAAGTTAATATGGGAAAACAAGACGTGGACACCTACGAATACCCTTGTCTAAATGAAACACCAATTAAATTATGTAAGCGCTCGCGGCTCTATATTTCTCCTGGATCTCTCTGCGTGCCTTGGCATTGATTGGCCACTTGTCAGTGAGGATGTTTCGGAATTGGAGCTTGTTGACGATCGCTTCCCTAAAAAAACGATAGCCAACAGACTGATCGGCAGTAGCATCTCCACCATCGGGACTTTCTCATTCACGCCTTCCGAAACCCCATCCACTCTCATTTCAGCCACTGTTGAGTAGAGGAGCTAAAGGGGAAGTATTGAACGGCCGAAACACATCACATAATCTAAAATAGTTATATAAGTAAACATCATTTCTCCTTCTTAACCCATTCCACTCCAATCCATTCTTTCTTTGCTTTTCGTTTTGTTGCTTCATATTTCCGTTTGCTTTTTTTTACCGTCACTCTTTATATACCACCTGCATCAACTTCTAAAATGAAGTACGCACTTGTTCTCACGGCTATTGCCGCTATTGCCTCCAAGGTCGCCGCTGTCGGTGTCTCTGGCACTCCTGAGGGTTTCGCTTCATCCGCCACTGGTGGCGGTAATGCCACCCCCGTCTACCCTACCACCACTGATGAGCTGGTCTCTTACCTTGGTGATAGCGAGGCCCGTGTCATCGTCCTGAGCAAGACGTTAGTAGAGAGCCCCTACCGTGGATTGGCGACGGCTGACAATGACGAAATGCTAGTTTCGACTTCACCGATACTGAGGGCAGCACCACGACCTCCGGTTGTACTCCTTGGGGTACTGCCTCCGGCTGCCAGGTTGCCATCAACAAGGATGACTGGTGCACCAACTACGAGCCTGATGCCGCTACCACTACCGTCACCTAGTGAGTATCTCATCACCCGGGCTATAATCGATATCCCCTCGATGCTAATACGTCTCACAGCAAAAACGCTGGTATGCTCGGTATCAACGTTGGCTCCAACAAGTCCTTAATTGGTGAGGGCACCAGCGGAGTTATTAAGGGCCGTGGTCTGCGCATTGTTAACGGTGTCAAGAACATCATCGTCCAGTACGTCCAATCCCTTTCGCGGTCTTAAGCGTGAAAACTTCGTTGGAATTTATACTAACCGGTTTGTCATAGGAACATCGCTGTCACTGACATCAACGCTAAGTACGTGTGGGGTGGTGATGCCATCACCCTTGACCAAGCTGACCTAGTCTGGCTCGACCACATTACCGTACGTTGCCCCCACAGACCTTGCCAGCGATCCACATAGACTGACTTATCATCCAGACTGCTCGCATTGGTCGTCAGCACTACGTCCTGGGTACTGAGGCTGACAACCGTGTCTCGATCACCAACAACTACATTGATGGTGAATCCGAGTACTCTGCCACCTGCGACGGTCACCACTACTGGAACGTGTACCTCGATGGCTCCAGTGACAAGGTTACCTTCAAGGGCAACTACCTCTACAAGACTAGTGGCCGTGCACCCAAGGTCCAGGGCAACACTTACCTTCACGCTGTCAACAACTACTGGTCTGAGAACTCCGGCCACGCCTTCGAGATTGGCTCTGGTGGTTACGTCCTTGCGGAGGGTAACTACTTCTCTAACGTCGACACTGTTCTTGAGGCTGCCTCCTTCAAGGGTTCCCTCTTTGCCTCCGACAGCGCCTCCAGCACCTGCTCCTCCTACATCGGTCGCGCCTGTGTCGCCAACGTCAACGGGGGCAGTCTGGTCAGCTCCTCCTCCACCGTTCTGGAGAACTTGAAGGGCGAGACTCTCGCCACTGCCTCTGGTGCAAGCACTGACCCAGCTGGCAGCGCCGGCCAGGGTAACCTGTAAATAGCGTCTTTTGTTTGGGTTGGGATATTCCTCAAAATCTCCTGTGGAGCATCGGGGAAACTGCTTCGCTGCATCATATTTCTCGGAGGAAGAAACCAGGAGGGGAGATCAATACGAATGTATTGGTACTATCTGACTGCTGACTCGGGGGATAATAGAAGAGAGGAAATTTTCTAAGTACAACTAATTCATGGAACAAACGGGATCACGGGATCACTCAAGTCACGTACCCAACCTTGGAGGAGTCTTAGTATAGTTTATCTCAAGCTAATCAATGACATTCATAACCTAAATATGCTTGCATGAGTTGACCCCTTGTAGCATACTCACTTTTTGACATTACTGCTAACTCATTATCTCAGAGAGTGCAGTAAATCTGGTCTGGGAATTCGATATACAAATCTCATCAGGACTGTCTAACGCAATAAAAGACCACCCAATTTATTGAGAACGAGATCCCAGAGAGAATTTTACAAAATACTCAGCGCAACTAAAAAGCAGTAGAACTTCGGCGTCATTTTCATAGTGGCAGTCAGAACTATAGCAATATTCAAATGACAGGTAAAAATTGATATTTCGTTATCATTTGCTTTTTCCGAACCCTCCCTAGTAATTTTCTACCAATTTATAGCTAGTAACTTCATATTGGGCATTCTAAATTTATTTTCGATGTGTACCGTATTTCATATCCAACACAAGACCCAGTTACTTCTTCGGGGTGTTTTGCTAAGTCAAGGTTAGCAAAAGCGCTAGCAAAGTAAAATTTCTATTTATGTTCAGTATCTGGGGGAGATCGACCTCGCTTTTGGATATAAAGTCTAATATCAAGCCATAGCCAAGGACATGGGTAAGTCTAAGGCAGCCTTAATTTGTTTGAGCATAAAGCAATCGCAGCCTCTACAATCTGCTGAAGTTTGAGATAGCAGGGTAAGATGAAAACCAAGGAGTTGCAATTAATTCAGCCCCCAGACTGTGCGCCTAGTCAAATTTGATTGGTTGGCGGAGTCAGTTCTAGAGGGTATCAGGGGATGTTACCACACTTGTTCCTAAATCTGCATAATAGTAGGCATTCTTCATTTCTTTCTTTCTTTTCTCCAGTCCAGTCGATAGATGCAAAACATATTATATCGATATTTCCCCTATTCTCCACTTCTCCACCATCTTCCTACTCTTTCTCCGGATTAAGCATTGTTGAGTGTGTTTCCAGCATTGGTTGGGACGCTTGCCTGGGCAGCCGAGGCTGCACTTGCAGTTGCGACGGTGAGTCCGGCGAAGTTAGACAAGAATTTAGTATCGGCATTCGTAAACGCAGCTCCACTGTCAACTTGAATATTCGTCACGCAGTCCCTCTTAAGGGCCCCCGAGCATGCCTTGTTTGCAGTAGCACTCGGCGAGCTAAAGAGTTGACCGACGTAATCTCCGACAATTTGGCTGACATTGTTGAAGACACAGCCTTCGAAGAGACCTTGGCCATCATCGGTGCCCTCGATAGCGTGGCCGTTGTTATTCTCCCACACGCTATTGACGGCATGGAAAAGCGTCTTTCCGCTCAGTGCAGGGCTGCGGCCTGATGTTCTGTATACATAGTTGTCTAGCGAGCAAATATTAGTTTCTTCTAATTCCAGGTAGAGTCAATCAAGGAATTATGGTTTGAAAAACTTACTTGCAAACGTGATCTGGTCGTCGGCCCCGACAAGTTCCAGTCCCCAGTATTGTTGCCCGTCACACGAAGTAGAGAAATTAGTTGCTCCATTCATGAAGCTGTTGGAGATAGTGATATGAGAGTTCGCTTCTTGGCCAAAGACATAGTGTACACGGCCAGTGTATTGAGTCTAGTCAAAATCGAGTTAGCATCCAGTAAAAAGGAATTATCATGTATAGCATTACTAACCGTAACATGGTCAATCCAGATCTTTGAAGTGCTAGAGAGTGTGATCGCATCTCCACCCCAGACAAGCTTTGGATTGAGGTTGGTGATCATGATGTTCTGAATAATGATGTTGGAGGCGTCGACCATTCTCAGCCCTTTGCCGAGGAGCACACCCTTGTTTCCGACTCCGATAATCGTCTTGTCTGAGTGAACACGGATTCCTTGGGTTCCAGCAGTATCCCACTCATACTGCTCTGATGGTTTACCATCACATCCTTTTCCGATATCGATCGTGGACTGGCAACCATCTTCGAAGGAGCCATATGCCTTGCAAATTGTTCCCTTCGTTGTGCCTTCCGTTCCGATAAAATCGTACGTCCTGTCGATAATGATGACCTGAGGATCATCAGAGCCCAGAAGCTCGATTAGCTGCTTGACATCGGTGGGATACACTGGCTTCGCGTTCCCGCCTCCTGTGACTCCGTATGCGAACCCTGGAGGCGAGCCAGTAACCGAAATCGCATCAGCCCTCTTAGCTGGGCTGTCTGCAACTGCCACAACCGCGAATAATAGAGCAAGGGTGAATTTCATGTTGAATTCAAAGCCTGAAGTTACGATAATGACTGGGAAATATTTCAGGTTTACTAGGGCTAATGATGCTTCTTATGCCTTGGTCCTGCCAAGATCGCTGTTGCCTTTCCTCGGGAACGTCGAAGCTGTCTCACATGGGCCGATGGAAATATTTATGTGAAACTCATCCTTCTAGAACAAAGTGTTTTTTAAGTGGGGCTGTGAGCTGAGAATACGATATACGACATATCTATACTATGGAGTAAACATTTCTTAGTAGCTATATCCACAGATAATCCGTAAGATGTAACACCATTCGCGTTGTCGTAAGTTTAGCCTATTCTCAGTGCACGAACACATCCTCATCTGGATATATTTCATCAATGCTTGCCCCACATATACTGGGGAAATTTCGGAAAATTGACACAATGGTCGTCACTGTAGGAGTGATCTACAGGGGCAAGAGACGATCTATACTCCATATCCGTTAAGATGGTCGGCCTAGCGCATTAATCCAAGACAAAGCCAATTAGATTAGGTTCTTACTGTATCGGGTAAAATCCGAGCGGAACAAATGAAAGAGACCACTGCAACATACGGTTATATCGGCCATGGATGAGAAATACAAACAAACGGAGTACAAAGTAGTGGGAAAAGGAGAAATAATTATTTCACAAGCGACCCCTTCTCTCGCCACGAGCAGTAACGATCTCCCCTACGACATGCTGCGAAACACATGCATCGATTAAACAATATATTTCGACCGATGTCTGATGTGTTGCGTGAACTTTTCCTCCCTCTTATCAATATCAGACATTGAAAAAGAGGATTACGCGAGCCACCGTGGTGAGGAGCGTGGGCGACAGTACAAGCGATGATCAAAAATTGAACAAAATCTGCTTGCTCAACCCTGACTCGCGGGGATGAACTGCGGGAGCGACCACACTGCACGTGAAGCGGGGAAACCAAGCCCCTATATTACCCCCTTGTTTCTAGCTAAGTGGTTTGGGGGCCATCTATTCTTGTCCCCTTTAAAGCTGAAAATATCCTATGTTTGAAATCATCAAAATGGGTTGGGCATCATTTCTAGTAATTGTCAGTCTGGGGGAAAACCGCGTTTTGGAGCAATTTGGACGGATTTTATTCAGAGACCGGCTCTACGAAGTTCTAGGAAGCGGGTAGGTGACATCGTTGCCATATCAGGAATTTGTCTATTTATCCTTCTATAATTATAAGACCAGGAGGCTGGTAGCCCTCTTTGACAGAAACTCTAACTTCTTTCATCCAGTCGGTGCTGTTACACTAAATTCTCAGGTCATCCAGAACGAACGTCAACGACAAAAACAAAGAATTTCGAGGGCTAGTCGATTAGCTCGGCGGTCAGTTCTCCTTCGGCCTAGTTGAATTGAACAACGGATTTTAGTTGGCCCTTGCGTGCCGTCACATTGGGTATATCGTCTACAACGTCTTCTAAAGCAATGGCTCAGCATCAGTGCCAATGACCACAAGAAGCTCAGACACGTCCACATCCAAGCAACTGTTTCCAGTAGCCAGTTTGACATATAGAAATGATGGATCCTTCTTTGGTTAGTGTTTGAGTCTACAAGGATAAGTGTGATTATGAAAATGACAATATGCTATGGATACCAGGTAAAGAATTCCGACATTTTGCTTCTTTGAGCTTAGGCTTAGGGATTATTAAAAAAAATGCTAGTATGGTTTCATAACCTGACGAACTGTCTGCTAAAAGAAATAAATAGTATGAATCATAACTAAGCAGGAATGAGCCCGATTAATAGAGAAAATAGCCATAAGAAGTTTAATTTCTATTTGGTACGTTTATCGCGAGCTAATGCGGTGTTATCATAAAACAGATGTGAGATTCGAAAGATACTAAGAAAGAAAGGTCTCAAAATCAATCAGCAACGCAGAGGAAAGCACATGACTCAAACTGTTCTATATCTCAGGAAATCCACAAGCGCCAGTCCAAGATCAATCAGACCAAGGATCATATCCGTCGGGCCATCCCAACTCCTCCGCGAAATCCGACCATCGAATCTCTTCGGAGCTCTCATAAAATCCCGTATTATGTCCCCATTTTTGAGTAGACTGCGTGGCAGGAAATTTGCCCTTGGACCTGCCTTTACCATTCCTTTGTCGGTTCTGTGCGAGTCTTTGTTCTTCCTGAAGTTGGGCATTTACTGCCCATACTTTAAGATCCTCTGGGTTCCTGATACACCAGATGACGACATCCCGTGCTGCATACGCATCTTCCAGAGCATTATGCCCGCAATTCCCAGCCTGTATGTCCAAGTCCAAAAGGTCCTTCGCAAGTCTTTTCAACCCCCACTGGCGGGTCAATGGCTTCGTTGATGGTATCGAAGGGTAGACGGTCTCAGAAGTCAAGATCGCAGAATCAACAACTTTTGCATGAGATATGCCTAGTACTTCGAGGTCGAAGTGGAGCGAATGGCCAACCAACACAGTCGAATCGTCCATAAAGTCCCATAATGCATCGCGTGCCTCTCGCCAGCTTTTAAACGCTGCACCAGAGGCAACGGCGCTGGCCATGATGGCCTGTGTCACGCCACTGAACTTATATCTCCAGTCAACCACCTCTTCAGATGGGTTAACGTAGCGACTTATAAGCACATCGCCGGTCAAAAAGTCGATCGCACTGAGAAACGCAAGTGTTTGGCGACCGTTTCTAACTCCGACCATTTCACAGTCAATGGCGATGGCACGAACAGTCCCATCAGCCTGTAGCTCCGAGCGAGGTGTCTCTCGAAAGTGATATGTTGGAATAGACCCTTTGCTTGGGTGTTTCTTGTTTCTTATGGATGCAGGACCTAGGATATATCCTTCCGCCTGAAGACGATTCCATGAATGGCACCTCGAACGTAGATATCGCAAGATGAGATTCTGCTCCAGAGGGTGTATATCTGCTGGATAAACTGGAGTGCTAGGTGTAACACATGGTAGAGATTCTGTTTAAATGGATATAAGCCTCGGCTTGCTCAGTGGGTAGATTTGAGGCTCCTTACCTAGTAGTGAGCCATTTTTGAAGGTTATTGCTGTCATAGAAGCCAGTAAAGTATCAGACAAATGACCATCTGTAATTTTGGGTTTCTGTTCGGAGAGTTTCGATGGCTCCTCGGGGGCATCTGTTTGAACAGCTATCGACCGCACAGCTGGTGTCACCAATGCGGTTGATGATGGTACACTTGGCGATAGTACACTTGGCGACGGTACACTTGGCGATGGTACACTTGGCGAAGGTACACTTGGCGATGGAATATTTGGTGATGGTATGCCAGGAGATAATGCCCGCTGAACATCTTTTGGTATACCCGGCGAGGAGGACTTGGTATACTTTTGATAATGTTGTATAATCGCCAACTCATCGTGAAATATTCTTTCGCAAATATGACACTGAAAAGAGTGACGCTTGATTATGAAATGATTTCTGACACCAACCAAACTCCGAAAATTTGTCCTCTCGCACCCAGGACAGGAAAATTGAGGTGAAGACTTTTTAACCATGTTCATGAAATTGAAGCCGATCGGAATGACAACCCGTACACAGGCGCCGCTTGAAAAACAGATGTAGAGATGTGTCGCGCTCTTTATTTATCTGTCCAGCACTTAGGCTGGTGCTCAAGGCACACACGTAGTCGAATTCATGCATGCTGTGGCGGGAAACTATTGGCAAGTACAGGGGTTTTCGAACTACACTACGATGCGCTGCTTCGCCACAACTCCTGCGCGGGCTAAATAATGCACCTCAAAACAGTCTCTCCGAGACTAAGAATACCCCTTGAGTATACTAACTTTCAACCGTTGGCTTTTCCATCTGTTAAGCAGACTAATATAATAAAATCGGATGACCAATACAGTTCTACGGCCCCGGGGACTCGCTTTACTGGGTAAAAAGGCCACGTGCACCGGGCGTTATTAGCGCTTACGACATTCGTCGCTCAGTAAGGCAACCTCACGTTTGCACATTGGTAAAACTAAATAGTTGGCGTTTGAAGACAGGCTGTGGTGAAAGTGACGTGACGAGATCTTGTTTTTATCTATGGCCAAGAATCGACCTCAAATAAAATTCATTAATTTTCTCACATGCGCATTGTTACAAAACACATAATCATACATATCTGACGTGGCGCAGCATTCTTATCACCAAAAGAGGGGTTGCAGATATGTCAAAGGAAAGAAAACATATGGATTGAGCCGAACCGATGATCTTGTTCTTTGTGCGCTCAGGTCAGATGGATTGCCTTCAGATGCAGCCATGCTAACTATTTGATGTCTCTGAAATTAATTTACCGGGCAACGCAAATTAGGGTCGGCTTTGCGCGCCTTAAGGCGATGATCGTTCCGAATTCTAAATATTTTTGTTAGAAAGAAAGAGAGAAGAAAAATGAATGTGAGTTAAGAGTTGCATACCACTGGGTTTACCCATACATTGTTATATCATCAGATTTCCGTCAGTTTCGTATAGGCCATCCCAACTTAGCATGTCGTTACCGCCGACACTACACAGAGCACGGTGGGGATGCCCTCGGTATATCCTCCTATCCTCATCGCTAAGCCGTCCATTCCACTTCAGCATCTTCTGTACCATTTTGAGGACCTCTTGTAATATGCCCCCGTGTTGACGCAGGAAGCACAGGGCCTCGCCAAATTATGCACGTCCGGCCCGATGGCCTCGCCGATGATAGTTCTGCAACCAAACCAGCACCCAGTCTTTACCTTTTCAGACCAGTAGTGGTGGGAATGGCCGCATAGGTGGTACACCGTACCTAGGACCTGTATACACATGGCGGCCCTCACGCTATATGTTTCACAAGGGCGGAGGCTGACGGGGGTCTTGTAAAGGTACGAGGTGTGTATTGAGGTACTGGACCGATTGTTAAATAATAGGCTCAGCAATGGATAATGGTAATATGAGAGAGCCGGGGGCTTAAAAGAATGGGCGATATTAACAAGATACTACGAGAGGGGACGGGCCTATATATCTCCTTGTGAACAAGATAAATTTGAGGCTCATTAATGACCAAAATACACCACCATGGCCAAGCGTGGCGATGAACCAGCTCACATACTTATCAGCCTAACCGCCCACTCTTGGCACTGCTACTGTAGTGGTAAGACCCTTATATTGATTGGTTTTCAAAGACACAACTGCTGAGCAGCGTAAAGCCACCTCCTTCGTATTGGGAGCCATGTCAAAAAATCGTACGGGACTATAAAACAGATGACTCGAAAAAGTGAGGCAAACCGCCTCTGATGACTGGGCATCCTCTACTCCGTATATTGACATTCAATCAAGTGGAGGATGCCTGTAAGCATTCAATTTGCCCTCTTAAAGAAGACCCGCCGTTCATCAACCACATCTACCTTAGCCGATGCAGGACTTACAAGCTGCTATATTATACCCACTGGTTTTACACACCTTATTGCCTTATTCTTTTAATTGACACAGAATTCCAAGGTTCCAAGAATGATCTTGCTTATGTAAGGTTCATGGATAACAGCAAGTATCCTGATTAGGCATGTGGGGCCCTTCTCCATGACTGATTGGCTGATCCCACGGCAAGCGCGGGTTCGCGAGCTGACGAGTCAGATAAATTGTTCGACCCCTATGTTCATGAATCTTCGGCCGACCTACGGACAAAACGGACTCCAGAGAGCGGCTTCATGGTAATAGAACTGGGAAATGGTACTTCGTCCGTATCATACATGATGCCATAACAGAAACATCCGACGTCTGCACGGTGACGAGTGCATTTTTGGGATTTGCCCGTGACTCGGCCGAAGATTGTCGGGCAAACGAGATCTATGTCCTAGGGCGCCAAGAACAAATCTTCGAGGTGAACAGATACCAAAAGAGCAGCCTTCTTTCTTAACTTAATGTACACGAAGCCGATAGATTCAATCCGACGCCCTCGATTCTATATTAGAAATTCCAATTGCCCTCCACATCGGTATTAAGCAAACCGTCAAAAAATATAGTATCGCTCTCTTGTAAAGACCATTCCGTAATATCATTGAAGGTCGAGTTCTCAAACACTGGAAAGTGAGAGCTTGTGAATTGCAAAACAGTATCATTCATTCCCACAGCGTTGTCATCCATAGTCTCTCCACCCATATTGGCATTCCGATGTCCTTGGCTTCCAGGGGCAGAGACCAACGTCGATGTAGGTCCCGTGGTAGTTTGAGGATGTGCCGAGTCAAAGCCTCGGGTTTCAAATGGCGGTCTAACACCTGTCAATGTTGCCCTTGGATGTGGGTTTGCGCCTAGTATGCGATCACCTTCGAGCGATTGCACTGTACCGCTGCGTGTAATGCTGATGGTGCCAAAGTGCGGTATTTCGAGGCGCAAGCTGCCGGATGATTCTTCTTTGTTTTGAAGGACGCCCTGGAGGGTGCGAATGACGGTAATACTTTGGTCGGCGATGTGCACGCCGGTACCATGCTGCTTCAGTTTCTCAAGGGTCTGAACTACTCTCTCTACGAGCTGTAGGTCCTCGCATCGCTCTTTTAAGGCGACCTCATCCGTGGTGGTATGTGAATGCCCCAGGACCCCTAAAATTATCGTTGTCGCTGCTGTGAATGCTTGGAATTCGATGAGATTGCTGAACAGGGTCTTGCCTGGGATCTCACGGATGGACATCCACCTCTTGATCAAGCCTCTGCATGCGATCAGGCAGGAAATTTGGGAATATTGGTATCTTCGGTCTGTTGCCGCGCGCAGCATAAAGGGCAGATGCAGTAGTGTTGCGAGCTCAAAATGACAGATTTGGCACATCATTCGCTCAAATTGAGAGGCTGCCTCTTCTGTGCGGCTGCTCATTGTGGTGGCAGGAATTTCCCACCAGTCTTGTGGCATCTTTTTTGCGAGCGAGTCGAGTTTTTCGTCGATTTCCTGAGTAGAAGAGAAGGCGTGCGTGGAGTCACCTTGATTGCGAGTGAGGATGAGGCCGGAGATATGGCAGAGGTGTTGATGATAGAGGTCTTCGATTGAAAGAAAGGGAGCCTGATCATCGAAATGAGTTGGTGCCGAGCTTGTTGCAGATGGCACCCCGAGAGTAAGGGAGAGGTAGCGCTCCTAGTTAGAGTGAGCCCAAGTGAAAACTATTAAAAGTGATTTGCATACCGCTTGCATTATCTGGTACCATATATAGTGACGCTTTGTCTCCTTCCAATCTGGTACTGCCTGAGAGGTCTTTGATGGCACTCTGTGTAAGCCCATAAGCTGGGCCACATTTATTGCTCGACGGAAGGTGATCCATGACCTGCGGAGGCTACCTGCATTGGCCTGATATATTCCTTGAAGAGCAAGGCATTCAACACCTTCCATACTTCCAGTCATTTCATCATCAGAAGTGACCCTTGTGGTGATGAAAGCGATATTATTCTCCATCATTTCTTGAAGGGGCATTGTGGTCCGAAGCCTTCCTAGGTCGGCTTTTGATGGAAGCTGCTGAATACAGATAGCCACACACAGAAGAAGCCTTGCAATGACCATGGGATGACTTTTTGAGACTGCCAAAATATCGAACGGGTTTTCGGGGTCATTTTCAGGTGGTTTTAGTAGGTGTGGCATCATATGTCGCCGAATCAGCCACCACCCATGGCTCGTGCCCGAGAGAAGATCAACATCCTCTTGACAAGGGAGCATTGCAACGAGTCGCTGTTGTAGCCTGTCGATTCCTCCTATCGGAGATCCATTTGTGGCGCTTACAAGGCCACTGAAGTCTAAGACTGGAGCTGATTGTGGTGATGAGATAGAAGTATTGGTCTCGGGCTGCTGTATTATAGCATTGTTGAATGTCGATACAACGGAAGGCCGTGAGAGGTTGTTCGTCGCCGAAGTTGATAAAGGAGTGAAAACATCGACTGGGTCATCGACTGGTCGGTTATCCCCTGTGCCCTGGGAAACACTTCGCATGAATTTCTCCAGCAAATTTTCTACCCTTTCCATTCGCTGGCTTAGCGCCGAGCTTTCCGCATCGCGTGGCGGTTGATCCTCGAGAAACTCCTGACTGAGACATGAGGTGCCTTTGTCTAGACAGCTGACACAGATAGGATGATCATCTGATTGATATGTACACTTAACCTTTCTCCGCCTGCCTGATACTTGTCAACGCCGTAGCTCGTTATGTTGTTGAGTACGTACACTCCCAGCAGCTCCTTGTGCCCTTGCGGACCCTCTTGCGACGATGCTCTCTAACAGGTGTTATCAACTTAGACGACATCCTTAAAGAGCGTTTGCAGGTTGGTCTTGGCGGCGTAAAAACTGTTTCATGCGGAGTATTGTAGGAGAGGGGCAGCACCCCTGTAATCCAACCGTGACTGGATTCTTACTAGCGTACATGTATGATGTGGTTTTATCCTCTAGACACCTGATCCCTGAGGTGTCAACGGCAGACATCTGTAACTAACTAACTAACTACCTATAACTAGTCATAGCCTATAGTTACAGGCAGTATCTTCTATACAGAGAGAGACTTAATATCCACTGATAGTGGCTTAATAATATGCTATGTATAGCTTATAATGTTACTTTACAATACTATATAAAGTAAAGAATGTAAAATCAACTAACGATATGTATTATATAACGATTAGGGAAGCAGAACTAACTGGTGGGATTCATACAGTATATCTAGAAGAAAACATCTGGTTATATCAGATAACCGTTTAATTGGTCCCTTCTAATTTCCAAAATGGTGTTTGCGTGCACTCGGCAAATTCGACCGTATTTCGGCCGAAGGTCCCATTTACCATACTACTTACTCAACACGGTAGTAAATTCGACTCATATGCAACTGAAAGGATAAATACCACCCCGGAGCCCTTTCTTTGACGGTTATTCAGACTGAATGTTACGAGCACCTTGATCGCCTAGTACCTCTTTCCCCAAACGCCACAACTTGTGTCAATACAATGGCCGATCTATCAGCTCTTCCGAAAGACTGGATCCTCACATCAAGCCAGTTTACCAGAAAGGCTTACACCAATGTTTATCCTGCCATTCATCCAACCAAAGCAGAAAATTCTGTGAGGGGAAAGACGGTGGTTGTGACCGGTGCCAGTCGTGGCATCGGGGCTCGAGGCATTGCACCGGCCTTTGTAAAGGCTGGTGTGAAAGCCATTGTACTCATTGCTACAAACGCAGCTAAACTCATGAACGTCGAGGAGGAGCTGAAGATGATCAACCCAGATATTGAAACCCTTTCTCTGAGTGTGGATGTCTCGTCGAGTGACCAAGTTGCTAAGGCCTGGCTTGGGATCAAGGCCAGATATCCCAAGGTTCATATACTAGTCAACAACGCTGGTGTGGAAACTACCGACAGTGATAAGACTCATGAGCAGGATCCGGACATCTTTTTCAGAAACTTTGTAAGTCCCCGTCAACAGTCCCATGTCAAGTTGAAAAGATGAAGATTAAAGCCCCAGTACACATTTGGTACGATGATCAGCTCGTTGGCTAATAAAACAACGTCCGAATTTAGGAAGTCAACGTCAAAGGCACCCATATCATGACGCAGCAGTTTCTGAAGGCTGCGATTCCGTGGGCCACGACAACCGATCCTGCTAGGCTTATCAATATGTCCAGCTCGAGCGCCTGGGGAACTTGGCCTTTCCTGGCCGCTTATTCCAACAGCAAAGCGGCCCTAATCCACTACACCACCACGCTTGCTGCTTCTTACCCTGGCACAGTGCTCGCCATTGCAGTCAATCCCGGTCTCAATGACACCGATATTATCCCCGCAGCCCTTCGGGCGGCTGAGTTCAACTACAATGACCCAGCGCTGACAGGCGCTACCTTGGTGTGGCTGACGGCGGACCCGGCGAGGAGCCGGTTTTTGAATGGAAGGGTGGTCACGGTTGAGTGGGATGTTGAGGAACTAGTTGCTAGGAGGGAAGAGATTATGAAAAATAATCTATTGACAATGCAACTAAATGCAGTACTGGGGAAGGGCCAGTTTGCAAACTAAGCCCTGTTTCCACAGTTGGCCAAAAGGGCCCAACGCAAGGTAGACAAGCCACCACATGTGTTTTACCTACCTCGGTTAGAAGTGATAGCTACCAAGTGAAATTTACATGATACGCGTATATTTGTATCCAATAGCGGTGATAATTCTATTTCCAGTGCCCCGAAGTATTACACGGTTTTATAAGAAAGCCTCGAAGTCAGTTTGCCGTTTCATGTATTCTCTTTGCCCACTTATTCTCACTTCTATTTTAGGGAGGGTAGCGCAGAGTATAGTCGCGGGATTATAGAAGAGCCGACAAGTCACGCGGAGAAAAAGGGCGGTGGAGCTTAGGAGCTCAGGGGGCCGACAACATACAAGCTTCACGGAAATCCCGATCACAGCTTTGACACACATTGCGTTTTCATTCATACCATGAGCAAGTTCCACGCTGATAGCGTTTGCTTTTTATTGGCTTTTTATTATTCTTATCTGTGTTATCCCCACATATACTGACTCGAAAGGCCTCGGGACGAGGCCTTTCCGAGGACGGGCGCTTCGTACTCCCAGTGTGGAAGATCAGGCACTTACCAACGTAATCATATGGTCCTCGGCCTCAACGTAGCTAAAAGGTGATAACACATTACATCACCTTCTCCTATCCAAGCTTTACGTATCCATGTAGCGATTTGGCTTGCCGCTGTGTTCTTTTGGTACAATAGGAACTTTAAGTCGATAATCATAATTATGTAATACACATCAGCTATAAAATCACAATTATGACGAGAAAATATATGTACACTACAGCTACATTTGACATTGGCTTCTATGCCTTCCCCCAGGAAACCGTCTCCGGAACATTAAGCCAAGACACACTATTGCGTTAAACTTACGGAGTTCGGTTGTTTCAAAACCTCAATATAGCAGGTGTACTATGCATGTTTAGCGGGATCAAAGAGTGAAAGAGAGGATTAGTGAAAGCACACTGCAAAATAACAGACTAGAGCGTTGAAAGCCTGGAACAGTCCAGATAGAGATCACCTAACCCCACACTTCCGACAGGTATCAATTCCTTCTGAGAGCTTTCATCAATCAAATATTCTATTATAATCCATCGGTGGAAACGGGCTTAATATCCAGGGCATTGATAGACGCCATACTCATGGCGACCGCAGTGCTTGCCATCTCCGCCCTTAGGGCCAGCACACTATATGTTTGGTTAGATTCTGACGATTGGTATCGCTTCTTTTCGCGGCGATATGGGTTAGGTCTTACGCTTCCTTTGACACAGCGCCTGTGTTTGGTCATTAGTAAATATACATGATGTTTATAAAATAGGTAACACGAGTAACTTATTAATGCCTCCAACCTTGCAAGATGAGCCATTGCACACCTAAAGGTAATCGAGTCAAAGATTGGACTTTACAGCACGAGTAAATGTCACATACGCCGCAGTATAGCCACCCGTTATCGCAAGTCCACTGAGTGGAATCGATAGAAGCGGTTTTATCGCTACTCGGGTCGGCTGGCAGAGCGAGACTAATAGAGGCACTGGTGGCCATAAGAATAAAAGTGAGAGTATAGAAACGCATTTTGATTGATCGTTGAGACTTGGAGAATAAAGAGACGGTTTGGTAGAGAGGAACCTCATACTTATAGCAAAATCAGAGGACTAGCACGGGGATTCTCCAGATTAACGATATCATTATCTTCTACCGAGTTATCCGTAGGGTTACTTTCAATCTTTCTTTTTTAATTGATCAGCTGTATGAACGAAGGTAGCCTTACTGCCAAGCTTGCCTTTCTAGTCGATAGGCCGCATATACAAGGGCGATCATGTTGCTGATCTCTCCTTTTTAGTTGATAGGACGCATTGACTAGGGTTCAAAAGTGTAGTGATAGTACATTTGTAGTACAGGCCGCGTCCAGGCCACTCGAGAGAATGTCGCTAACAGTTGAAATATTATTCAAAAGCGAGTTTGGAGGGTCGGGCACCTGGCATGAGTGTAGAGAAGTACCCAGTAGTGCATATGCTTCTCATGCCCCTATGCGTACCTATATGATCTATCATATCGACTATATCTGGATCGCTCATCGAGTCATCTTAATCTGTTGAACAGGGCTATATTAATCAAAAATCTCAGTATGGCGGGAGCTCAACAGAATAAAAGGAAGAGCATACCCAAAATAACTATCCAGAGGAATTTATTCCCCTAACGAAATAGACTGTCAAAAATGACACGTGTTGAGGCTAAGGCTAAGGCGTTGGTGGCTACGACGGAAAGTGTGGGGTTAGGCTTTGGCGACCTCGGGAATACCCGCGAGTGGGTCGAGATCAGCGACCCCATGAGTACCTAGGTTCATACCAGAACCCGAACCCAACCCAAAACCCATGAGGTTACCTAGATACCTATGGACCCCCATCTCCACCCATTCTGTACCACTTTCCCAGTTAGGCTATGTCATGCCGCATAAATTTGTTTAATCTCTTCCACCCCTGCAGATACAGAAACCCCTCATTCATTCGTAAAAGAAACAGAGATAAAGTAAGAAACTCTGTTATCTCTTAATCTATCAATTATCGTTTGACTGGAAGCGGGCCAAATTGGAATACTAACTTGTAATTCCGGATGATATAATTTCTATGCAGAGACTGGTGATGAGGGTCTGAAACAGCATCGTCGGCGCCAATTTCGGTTCCGAAATAGTTCCGGATTCTTAGCATGCAGAGACTTTATATATAGCGTATGCAGAATGCCAGTTTAGTATTAGCGTTAAAATAACCCCAATACTATGTTGATTATAGAGAACTGACTGGGATTCTCGACGGTATCCAAGTATTACTGTGGAAGCCTATCAGAAATCTAGGAAACATAAGGTAAATATAACCCCGAACACTTCTAACATAACTGTGACCAACTTACAGTGCGTAAAATCAGGACACTCCCGTTCCTACAATATAACATATTATAAGAATAACGGTATCATGAGTTTATACGCGTCGTACGGTAGGTAAGATTTATCATATAATTACTGTTGTCTCTGTCTCTAGTAACCAAGGAACCAAGGGGAAGTAAAAGTGAAACGTAGGTATGTGAACTAGATGTAATAAATTGGAGCTGTAGCTCCTAATGCCACATTCTTGACTATAATAACAGTCCAATGTGTTGCAAGTCGGGGTGATGGTGGGAAGACAATGAATGTGCGTGGTTTTTGGGGTAGGCTGGTGGTAGGTCTGTATACGTGTATACAGTACAACGTGTTTACAAATGAGGCTTAACGTGAGATCTTCACGTACATAACGATATCTGATTTTTTTGAGACTGAAATCAAGTTGTTTCTAATTGATGTATTTATTGATTCTACCAGAGTTTACTTTCAGCTCTAGTCTATGCCGACAAAAAGACTATGTATGCTATAAGATAGGCTGCTGCACGGAATTTATGTATTAAGTAAGGGTATGGGTATCGTAACGATAAAATAGTACATGATGTAGGAAATCTCCTGCAGAGACTCTTATCGTTGAAGACCACCTCTGTTTTTTTCTCCTCTCAAAGGTCAAAGTATGTGGAGGTCAAATGTGGATGATTGATTGAAGTGGATAATTGACTGGAGTGGGCAATCAAAGGGGGTGACTGATTGAATAGCCTGCCGATTGTCCTGGAGCCGAAGCTAGTCAAGGTGAGATTGGAAGTGATATATTGAAGTGGTTGAAGTGGTCAATCGACCAGTCTGCTGATTGTCCTCAAGCCAAAGCCCGCCACGGTCAGATTGGTGGATCTCATTGATCGAATTTTTTATTGAAGCGGTTGATTGGAAAGGTTGATGGAGTTGGATAGTTGAAGTGGTGGTTGACCAGTCTGCCGATTGTCCTGAAGCCGAAGCCCGCCATGATCAGACTAAATGTGTTGTTTGAAGTAGATAGAAGTTTAAAGTGCATGGGTATTTGAAGTGGATGGTTGAAGTGGTTGATTGAAGTTTTTTCCTTCTCAAATCTTTTTGCTTTATTTATTTATTTATTTTTTTGCAGTCATTGCCAGCCATCACGTAGCCCTCAGGCCAGAGCCTGCGAGGGCAAAACTGGGTGTGGTTGAGCATGCATGCCTGGTTCAGTCAGCCCCATGTCCTGTTGGTCAAGTTATAGATTATGATGAGACAAGCAAAAATAAAATAGCAAATTGGTAACAACACCAACAGGAAGTGGTCACCCTATCATTTGGAGGACAGAAGATGGAAGGAGCGCCTGGCTCGGATACCTGAAGAATGAATGTAAGGAAGGAAAGAACAAGTCGGAATTAGATGTTTAACAACCACTTGGTTGGTTGATAGCGCGAGATGTGACGCCATTTCCATGGACCTGGCGAAATCTTGCCTGTGTGTCTACCAGAAGGACAATCATATTCCGACTACAGCAGAAAGGCAACCAAACATATACACCAAACAGGGTCTTGAGCTCATGCGTGAAGATGGCTATCATTCAATATATTTGGATCTCATCGACGCCCTAGTTCACAGCAGCTGCCCGGATCCGCTTGTTCACTTTGGGCACTCCGGGGTTCTCTTTGTTCAGATGCAAGACAGGTATTTGGAGCGCCGGGCCGGCAAACGATTTCCCATCCAGCCAGCCATGAGAAAGGAGCTAAACCTGCAATTCGGCCTCGAACCCACTGATGCACGTTTGGACGGAATTTTCTGCTTGCAACGGTTGTCTCGAATGGACAATCTCAGCCCTGGGAAGCAACACCAAAAACTTGAAAAATCGCAGAATCTTTGCCCAGAACTGCTATTGGCCTGTCAAGCATGTCTGAAGAGCCGCAAGCAGGCTTTTGACTTGAAGATTCCCTCTGAAGCGGAGAGCTATCAACCGAATCTATGCAGCTGTGCCCAGTCATTAGTGGAGAAAATTCATAATATGTCTGGCAAGGTGGAAAACCCGGAGCACTTACATCGTGTCCTCATAAATAATGCTTTGCCTAATGCAGTCAACTTGAGCAGTGAGGATATCAGTTCAATAGGATCTTTGG